AGTTATGGAACAACTGAAAACTCCAGCAATTCGAAAATCTAGAATTTTAATAATAACAGATTAAAATTTCGAAAAGTTGAGAAATTGAGAAATCGAAATATAATAAAATGTAAGGTTTAAAAAACGAAAACTGAAAATCCAAGAAATAAAAAAGCGAAAAATCGAAAAATCCAGAAGTCGAAAAACCGAAAAGTCGAAGAAACGAAATATTGGAAAATCCCAATACAGAAAGAAATATCCAAAAGTAGAGACATTAAAAAATTGGTAAAATTGAGAAATCGAAAAACCAAAAAAGCGAAGTCGAAAATTCGAAGAACTGAAGAATCGAAACTTGGAGAAATGGGAAAATCAAAAATAGGTTAATTGAGAAATCGGAAAACTGAAAATTTAGGAACGTCAAAATTTGAAAAATTGAAAAATAGAAATACTGAAGAACCGAAAAATCAAAAAATCGAGAACCCAAAAACTCTAAAATTTAAAACAATGAACAAATTAAAATAACGCAAAATTGAAAAATTGAGAATTCCAAACATTAAAAAACAAAAAAATAAAAATTCAAAAATCTAAAATTCAAAATTCGAAAAACTGAAAAATGAAAAAATCGAGAAATCGAGACTCTGGAATTTAAAAAATTGAAACATTGAAAATCAGATAACTGAAAAATCGAAACATCGAAAATTTGGAAAATGTAAACATCGAAAAATTGGAAAATCGAAAAATAAAAAAAATTGGAAAATCGAAAATTTAAAAATTCTAAAAATTGAAATATTGAAATACAGAAGAACTGAAAACTCGAGAAATCGTAAAAGCTAAAATTTTAAAACTGAAAGTAAAAATATGGAAAAGTTGACATACTGAGAAATCGAAATATAAAATAGTGGAAAAACTGAAAAATCTAAAGTTTAAAAAACGAAAAATTGAAATTCCAAAAACTCAGATATCGAAAAATTGCAAAATAGGAGAGAAATTGAAAAATAGAAAAACTGAAAAATCACAAAATTGAACGAAATGTCCAGAAATCAAAAAGTTAAAAAGCAAAGTCGGAAAATGGCAAACATAAAAACTCGAAAAATTGAAAAACCGAAAACCTGAAAAATCGAAAAATTGAAGAACTGAAGAACTGAAAGATCGAAACTATGGAAAGTCGAGAAATGGAAAAATCAAAAAATTAATTTAGAAATTGGAAAACTGAAAATTCAGAAACGACAAAATTTGAAAAATTAAAAAATGTTGAACTAAAAAATCGAAAAATGGAAAATTTAAAACATTGAAAACTAAAATATGGTAAAATTGAAAAATGGGGAAATCTAAATATCAAAAAATCAAAAAAATAAAAATTCGAAAATCTATAACTTAGAAATCGAAGAACTGAAAAATTAAAAAATTAAAAAATCGAAACACGAAAATTAAAAAATTCGGAAAATAGAAAAATCGGATAATTCAAAAATTGAAACATCGAAAAAACTAAAAGTCGAAAAGTAAAAAATCGAAAAACGGGTAAATCGAAAAATCGAAACATCGAAAATTTAAAAAATCAAAAGATCCAGAAATCCAGGAGTCGAAGGATGGAGAAGTCGAAAAATCGAAAAATTGATAAATCAAGAGATTGGGGAATCAAAACATCGAAACATCCGAATCTCCATAAATCTAAATCTCAAAAAATTGAAAAAGCGAAAATTTAAAAATTCGGAAAATTGAAAAATTAAAATAAGTATAGAAGAACTGAAAGCTGTAGAAATCGAGAAATCTAGAATTTTAATAATGAAAAATTAAAATATTTAAAGTTGAGAAATTGAGAAATCGACATATAAAACAGTCGAAAAATTGAAAAATCTAAGGTTTAAAAAACGAAAACTGAAAATCCAAGAAATAAAAAATCGAAAAATCGAAAAATCCACAAGTCGAAAAACCGAAAAGTCGAAGAAACGAAATATTGAAAAATCCCAATACAGAAAAAAATATTCAACAGTTGAGAAATTAAAAAATTGGTAAAATTGAAAAATCGAAAAACCAAAAAAGCAAAGTCGAAAATTCTGAAGAACTGAAGAATCGAAACTTGGAGAAGTGGAAAATTCAAAAATAAGTAGATTAATTGAAAAATTGTAAAACTGAAAATTTAGGAACGTCAAAATTGAAAAAATCCAAAGATAGAAATACTGAAGAACTGAAAAATAAAAAAATCGAGAAATCGAAAAATCGAAAATTTAAAACATTGAACAATTAAAATATCTATCGCAAAGTTGAAAATCGAGAATTCCAAACATTAAAAAATAAAAAAAATAAAATTCGCAAATCTAAAATTCAAAATTCGAAAAACTGAAAAATCAAACAATCGAGAAATCAAAACTCTAGAATTTGAAAGAATGAAACATTGAAAATCGGATAACTGAAAAATCGAAACACTGAAAAATCCAAAAAAATGAAAGCTCAAAAGTAAAAATTCGAAGAACCGAAAAATCTAAACATCGAGAAACTGAAAAATCAGAGGATCGAGAAATCGAGGAGTCGAAATCCGAGGAGAAAAGTTAAAAATTGATAAGAAATTGAACAATCGAAACATCTGAATTCGACAAATCGAGAAATCAAAAAATTAAAAATTCTAAAAATTTTTAAAAAGAAAAATTGGAAAATCGAAAATTTAAAATTTCGGAAAATTGAAAAATTGATATATAGAAGACCTGAAACCTCGAGAAATTGAAAAACCTAAAATTTTAAAAAGTCGAAAAATTGAAACATCTAAAGTCCAACAAAAAATTGAAAATATATAAAGACAAAAATCGAGAAATCAAAAAATCAGAGGACCAAGAAATCGACGAATCGAAAGCCGAGAAGAAAAGTTAAAAAGTGATGAATTGAGAAATTCAACAATCGAAACATCGAAACGTCTGAATTCGATAAATCCAAAAATCAAAAAATTGAAAATTCCAAAACTTTTAAAAAAGGAAAATTGGAAAACAGAAAATTGAAAAAGTCGAAAAATTGAAACATATAAAGTCCAACAAAAAATTGAAAATATATAACGAAAAAAATCGAGAAATAAAAAAATCCAGAAGTCCAAAAATCGAAATGTCAAAAAATCGAAATATTGAAAAAATCACAAAACTGAAAGAAATATCTAAACACTTGAGAAATTAAAAAATTGGGAAACTGAGAAATCGAAAAACCAAAAAAGCAAAGTCGAAAATTCGAAAAACTGAAGAACTGAAGAATCGAAACTTGGAGAAGTGGGAAACTCAAAAATAAGTAGATTAATTGAGAAATCAGAAAACTCAAAATTTAGGAACGTCAAAATTGAGAAATAGAAATACTGAAGAACTGAAAAATTAAAAAAATCCAGAAATCGAAAAATTTAAGATTTAAAACATTGAACAATTAAAATAACGCAAAATTGAAAAATTGAGAATTTCATACATCGAAAAATCAAAAAATACAAATTCGAATTTCTAAATTTTAAAAAGTCGAAAATTTGAAACATCTAAAGTCCAACAAAAAATTGAAAATATATTAAAAAAAAATGGAGAAATCAAAAAATCCAGGAGTCCAAGATTACTTCAGAAATCGGAAAACTGAAAATTTAGAACCGTCAAAATTTGAAAAATTGAAAAATCGAAATATTTAGAAATCGTAAAATTGAAGGGGACAAAAACTGAAAAATTATATCATTTAAACATCGGAAAATTGAGAAATCGAAAAATAAAAAACATCAAGGAATCGAAAATTTGAAGAACAGGAAAATTGAAAAAGTCCAAAACTTAAATATTGAAAAATTGAAAGATCTAAAGTTGAAAAATCAAGAAATCGAAAAGTCGAAAAATCTCAATAGCGTATTTATTATGAACCACAAGTTCTAACAACATTTTAACATTTAAATACCATTTATTCGACAAAATTGTAAGATGACACTATCAACTCCTGGGGGACATCAACGGATAAATTTCGACTAACGTTTTAACTTGCTTCTAATAACTATTAATTGGAAAATGTTGATTTTTCCAAAAATCTTCACGTCTAAGGTAAACGCTCAATACGGATTTATAAACGGTAAACGAAGGATATAAAATTTAAATTACATCTGGTGAGCGTTTTACCATTTGATAATACAATCTCACTCACTCTATGACTGACTCATTAAACCCTTGGATCTAGAAAGCTGAAAAAAAATTCAGTACAAAAGCACAGAGGTTCCCTTAAGACAAGGAATAAGGTCGAAGTTTTCGAAATTCTTCCCCCAAGGGGATACAATAAGGGATGAAAATCTTAATGTTTGTTTCGTCGTACATTTTCAAAGTAATTTGGCGTTTTTGGAAATTCCACCTCTGAAGGGGCAAATAGGGGATGAAAATTTGTGAGTCAATATCTCATTAATGATTCTTAGAAATAGAAAAAAGTCAAAGACCAAAGTTGTATCGTTTTTTTGTCTTATATATTTTTAGATATTTGTGTTGATTTTTCTTAGACTTTACAGTCACAATTTATTTTTGAAACTCTGATGCGACATTGCCACGTTATTCCAATTTTCTTGAGTTTTCTAGCAGTGGAAGGATTCACAAAAAAAATCGCAGCAGAGGCGCTTTCTTGTGGTATAAATCAAATAACATTGTCGTATACAGAGTGTTTATTAAAATGTTTGACTATTACAATTTTCAGGTATCGATATTTTAGTTTTTCAAATAGAAGATCTTATATTTTATTACTGCATCTGATTCGGTTTTTTGTTACTGAAATTTTTTACTTTTTTAAGAGGCACATCGAAATATTTGAAGAACGAGGACGAAAAATAAGGTCAAATAAAGTAATAAAATAAGTTCTATTAACAAAAATTGAAATATGGATATTTGAAAATTGCAAAGTTTTAGAATTTTTTATAAACATTACGTATTTTAAAATTTGATATAATTGAAATGTAATATATTTGAATTTTATCAACCTAATTCAATATTTTTTCACAAATAATAAGTATACTAAAAATTTGTTATACATATGTCCAATTAATTTATTACCTGACATTCTATACATTTGCAGTCATCAGTCTGTGAACAGGTGAGACCCAATATCGAGGCTGCTTCTTCGTAAAGATCTATACTACTCCTCCTGCTCCTGCAGCCCTCCGCCGTCGGCGAAGAGGCAGACGTCGAACATTTGTTTTCAGCCGTTGTTGTCGCTTTATGGCTCGTATCTTGTAGTGACGAATTCGCCGACTTATTCTGAATAAAAAACTAAAACAGAAGAAAAACGTTTTTAATAAAAGAATCCTATTCTGACAAATGAAATATGTTTTCAATATTTTTATGGTAATGCGAAATAGAGGCGCTCGAAAACAAAAGGATTGTTCCAGGAACAAATGGTCACAAAATAAATAAAATAGGAGCGTTTGTGGAAAGAAAATCCAATTTCACCGATAAACTGAGCTGATCTGGTGAGGATAGACGCCGACTCGGTATTGCTAGTTTTACTCATAAACATTTTTAAATTATATCGGGAAAGTGGGGCGAACTAAATTGAGGAAACGCAGACCGCAAAACTAGTTTGCTCCAACCGCTGAAAATTCGATTTCGACTAGGTTTTCAATCTCGGTGAATTAAAAATGGAAATGTTGCAAAAAACCCGACATAACTCTCTCCATGTATATTTATAATTTTGTAAAATATACTGACACGAAAATACTGTGTTGCTACGAATTATTTTTCATCAGCGAACTTTCTAAATTAACGATGCCCGGAACTAGATTAGACAGGCTAAAAAGCGCGGCCGAAAAACGCGATTAATTAATTTCGTCTTATTAGCGTCCGGAATTGAGTTTTGGGCGTTTATTGGCCCGTATAAGAACACTTCCCATAGAATTTGTTGCGGAAACGTGACAAAAAACCGGTGAAAAGGCCCGCGAGGGCGATAAATCGTCCAGGGGTTTCTCACTATTTAAACTTTATCCGAACACGGTCGAAGAATGGCGTTATTTTGTTATTCAAGTTTATTCAGAATTTTCCGGTTTGAAGAGAGTTGAAGTTGTTGGTGAAAATCCGGGCAACGGCGCGGTAATGTTAACAAGCAAGTTCTGTTTGCCCAAGTTGTTACTTCTTTCCTTTTTCCTGTGACTTGTTTCCGGTCGACTCTAATACGTTGGCTGTCAGGCACACCGGACCGGGAATCCCCGGAGTATAAACTGCGGCACATTTTATTTGTCAACCGACGCCATATATCTTGCTGAAATTGCGTGACATTATGTCACAGTGAAAAAATATTTAGGAATTTCAGGGGTTCTTCTAATAGAAAATGCGACACGACCAGATGGAACAGACGGAAGGGTATGTTTTAATTTATGGTTTTTTACTTTTAAAATAGCCAACTTTATAAATTGTTCCACGGTTTTCCACCACAAATTTTGTGATTTACGGACGTCATATATAGTTCCCACACGAATCAATGTCTTCCGAACGATTAACTACAAATTTATGTCATACACTGGTTACTGCTGTAGTCGTGTTTCTAAATGTAATAATACAACAATACAAAACTAAAATAAATTAAATTTAGATTTTTTTCGCGCGTAGCGTAGTTAGAACGAGGCAACTGTTGAAAAGCGTTTCCCTTTAATTTATGTTTTTGCGCTTTGGGTAAAGCAGTAAAAATAAACTTAATGGAAATCGTTTTAATTAGGGAGACAGCGGGGTCCACTACTGTTTTGTTTATTTATGGAAATGGGGGTGGTTCAGGTAGGGGTTGTAACAATGGAAAGAGCAGTAACTCTGTTTGCGCAAATTACGTCCTTGTTGATTTTTCTCATTTTCTTATTTGCTAATTTTCATATGCGTGTAATGTTTTAATAAGTTTTTGCGGCCCGAAAAGACGTTTCAATTTACAATCCTAAAATAACACAGGAGCGTTTTTGTGTAACTGCTGGGTTTAAATTCTTGACGATGTTGTAATTTTTCTTCGCCTCGATACCAACGCCCAATTCAGCAAAAAATATTTCACGATGCTATCACCTCCCGTCGTCTTAATTGGATTTTCTTGGTAATTAAAGTTATCTCCTTTATTCAGTTTAATCAACCCGTTCGATAACAGACCAATTTTCACGAATTCAATGTCTGAATTACTCGCATACATATAATTATAAGAAATTGTGCGCTGTTTGATTGTTTGAAACTTGTGTGGTTAGCATAAAAATATTTCACCATTAAACCTGAGCTGTGTGCCCATAACCATCGTACGTGAGGAAACTTTTTAGTGTTTGAAACATCGATTCGGAGCTTTTGTGTGAAAGCTCGAGAATATAATATAAAAGCGAGCTTCCGGTACGAAATAATACACAGTAAGCTAAAACTATCCCGTGACTTACCTCTAGTGCTGGATTAAGTTTGTGTTTAAGTTTGGGTCGAGGTTTGTATTTGAACATTTCTCTTCCTGCGGGCGATGCGAATAAATTAGCTAAGTTCGTATTCTGTAAAAAACACGGAAATTAGCAACGAGTTTTCCAGAAACAACAAATTGGAAGCTCAAACAATTAGCTGCGTTTACCTCGGATTTCGTGTTGGTTTCCAAAAAGTAAATATCCTTGTGCGCCGGGCAGTTTATTATTTCCCCTTTCATTGCTGGAACAAACAGTGATGTTAGCTCTATTGTTACAAAATATGGCAGAGGAAAATGGGGTGAAAGTGGAATTAATTGCAGGGGAAATTTTAACAGTGACATTTATATTTCCGCGTCTGTCGTCTAGTTCTTTGTTTACCATAATCTATCTCTGGCGTTATCAAATAAGACGAAGTTGTCGATTTGCGATGATTATGATTAAAAATGGTGAAGGCGCTGGAAAAATTGATTTTATGTTTAAACAATGTCTACGAAAGTTCTGCATTAATAAAATTAAAATATATAGATTTTTCTTTCGTTGGACCATCCACTGGAAAAATAAAAGTAGGTTCGTGATCGTGAGAAGGTTTTGTTCAAATATATGTCTTTTCGTAAAGCAAATTTTAAAAAAATTTCTTGCTCCCATGTTTCATGAACTACTGGAAGAATAACGACAGATTCGTGATTCTGAGAAAATTTCGGTTCAGATAGATTCCATTTTGTGCAGATTTGAAGATGTTTTAAATTTTGTGACAAAAATGGTGGAGGCGCCAGAATAAACATTCATTTCTGTATTTATTCGACGAAACAGCTTAAAATTTTCATTAAAAAATTACATGATATAATAATAATTAGTGAATAAGAGAAGTATTTTTAATATTGATAGCATTGTTTATTTACTATCAATTTAAACATCATCTCTAATAAAAAAATGATGTTCAGTTTAAGAAGACGTAAACAATTGACTGATTATTAACTTTTTTTTTAATATTTTGTAAACTAGTAATTGAAAAATAATAGAAATCTCATTTACTACTTATAAAAACGTAAATAACTAGTCGTTAGAAAATGTTCTACCAAAATTTTCATTAAACCTTTAGTCTAAAAATTACCTGTCATTCACCTTTAATTACTAGGCTTAAACATCATAAACAGACGACTGATGAAAGAAATCTTACAACAATTGACGTTGCTACATGCTATCAAACAGCAAGCCTACATCAACGAAAAATACAAGATACTAGGTTCAGTTATAAATGGATGCGTCAAGAAGATAAGATTATATGCTGCATCTTTTTGAAAAGTATGAATAAAATTTAAAAAGCTGTTATTAATTTAATTTTATGTGATGTTAATTCATTTTTTTCAGTTAAAACTGTATGTCATTTTTGATTTTGAAACATCTTCTGGACTGTAAGGTTCTAAGTAGAATTCCAAAACAAAAAAGCAGGATCTATTCCAAGCTTATTATTTAAGTAATTATTAAACATTTTATTTAGAAACGTGATTAAAAGACGTTATCTTTCCAACGGCAATTGAGTTTTCTGGTTATAGATTCCGATAAATATTCAGGAAGATGTATATTTATATTCTGTAAAATTATGTAGACATGATTTAGAATCTTATGGTTCTCAGATCGCGACCTTTTAAAGTTTTTACAAGTTTAGTAGGGGCAAAATGAGTCTTATTTTAGCTCCGCCCACCCGCCCCCTACTTTCTCAAAGATTATGTCATTTGCCAAAATACGTTTTATCTTTGCAAGTATGTACTAGTCCCGCCCACTCGCCTTCTATTTTCTCAGAGGATATGACTTATGCCAAAATCAGTTTTATCTGAGCAAGTGCTAGCAAGTACTACCTTCTGAAGAAATAAAGGATGGATGGGCGGGGCTAGTACTTGCTAACATAAGTCTTATTTTGGCAAATGACATATCCTCTGAGAAAATAGGGGGCGGGTGGGCGGGGCTAGTAATTGGTAAGATTAGACTAATTTTGGCAAATGACATACTTTCTAAAAAAGTAAGTTATTTATACAGGGTGTCTCAAAAAAATTAATAACTGAGTCAATTAATTTTATTGATTAAATCAAGAATTGCAAAAGTGAAATCAGAAACGGCTGACTCCATTTTTCCAGCAAATTTTGGGAATACAATGCTGTTGTTTTTCAATTTCCATTTTACACTATAAAAACAAGTCAGTGAAATGGGGAAAAGAAGTAGGCAGAGCTAAATTTAGGTTTGTTCTAGTTTTAAGAGCAAGCAGTAGCCCCGCCCACCCACCCTTTCTTCGTTCCAAGGACAACTCTTAATATTGTTTACTTCTAGCTTAGCAAGTTTTAGCCCCGCCCTACCATCCTTTTTTTTCTTAGAAGATGTCATTTCCCAAAATCAGTCTTATCTTAACAAGTACTATCCCCGCCCACCTGCCCTCTATTTTCTTAGAAGATAATAATTTACCAAAATCAATTAGCGAGAATGGGAACCAATAGAACGTAGGTTATTAGAAAAAAGCGTTAATCGTAAATTTTTTGTTATACTACTTATTTGTTATAACATTTATTTCTTATTTCTGAAGAAAAAAAAGAGAGAACAGGTGGGTGGGTGGGGGTAAGTTTAACTTTTTCATACAAATCTTTTATAAGCAAGCAAGCCTCTGAGAAGATTTCTGCTTAGACAGATGTCTTTTTGTGACGACTTGAACAAGTTTCAAATTTAATGTAAAAATGGTGGAGGCGTCAAAATAAAACTTTATTTCTTCCTTGTTTGATGAACTACTGCAATGATGATGTGATCCTATGAAAATTTATGTTCAGATAGTTGCATTTTTCAAGTCAAAAAAGTGACAAAAATGGTGGAGGCGCCAAAACGAAAATTGATTTCCTTATTTATACTAAGTGACATGGAAATCAAAACACCCAGTAATAGTAAGTATATTTTAATAATTTTTTTATACATGTGTGTTAGTGTAAGATAAGTAAACGATCAGTTTTTCTGTCATATTCGTAGTACCACTTGCCAAGATAAGACTGATGTTGGCAAATGACATACTCTCTACAAAAATAAAGGGTGGGTGGGCGGGGCAGCAGCTATTTGCTAAGATAAGTCTGATTTTGTCAAATGACACACCCTCTAAGAAAAAAAGGGCGGGTGGGGGGGGCTAGTACATGCTACATTTTTTTGTCCTTCGAACACTTCGGAAATGAGCCAAGGGCATTTTTTTATTAGTTTAGATTTGTAAGTTATTTTTGATTCCATGTCTTCGAAAATTCCAACACTTACCAGAATTGATCAAATAAAAAATGCCAATTTTCGATTCAAAAAAATTCATTATCAATCAAAGCATTAATACTCTGTTTTTAAAATAAACTGTCGAGATTTATATGCTAAAATTTTTTTGAGTATTTTTAAGCAAGGTTTCAAAATTCTCACATTTTTAATACCTTCCTCCAACGAAAAAATTGCATGAATTGGAATTTACTTAAAGAAATTTTCTTATAGATTTCATCTGGTTTTTGGGCTTCATTTCATCAAAAATTTCAAGAATTTTTCCAGAATTGATAAAATGAATAACGACAATTTTCATTTCAAGCTGAATTTTTCGAAAATTTTGGTCCGAGCCCATCAACGCGATATGTTTATAAAGTACTCCAAATTTTGATCATGAAATTTAGTGTATAAATGGTGGAGGCGCCAGGAGAAAAATTAGTTTTTCTGTGTTTGAAAATTTATTTCTCTCCTGTTTGATGAATTACCGCGAAGATAAAGTTGGATTCGTGATCCTGAGAAAATTTGGGTTCAGACAATTACGTTTTTCTGAAGATTTGAACAGTTTAAAATTTTGAGAATAAATGGTTGAGGCGCTAAAATAAAAATTAATTTTTTTATTTATTTGACGACCTACCGCCAAAATAAAAACAGGTTCGTGCTCCTCAGAAGATTTGTGTTCAGACAGATGCCTTTTTGTGACAATGACCAAGTTTCAAATATAATGAAAAAATGGTGGAGGCGCCAGGATAAACATTTATATCTGTCCTGATTGATGAACTATTTCAAAGTTAAATTGGGATTTGTGATCCTGAGAAAATTTAGGTTAAGATAATTTCATTTTTCTGAAGATTAGCACAAGTTTCAAATTTTGTGAAAAAATGGTGGAGGCGTCAAAAAAAATTTCTGGTTTTTCGTTATTTGACGACCCACCGCAAAAATAAGAACAGATTCGTGCTCCTGAGAAGATTTCTGCTCAGACAAATGCCTTTTTGTGACGACTTGATCAAATTTCAAATTTAATGTAAAAATGGTGGAGGCACCCAAATAAAAATTTATTTTTCTTTTGTTTAATGAAGTACTGAAAAAATAAGGACACGTTCTTGATTCTGTGAAGATTTTGGTTCAGGTTAATGCCTTTTTGTGAAGGTTTGATCAAGTTTCAAATTTTGTGCAAATATGGTGGAGACGCAAGAATAAAAATTCGTTTTTTTCTTATTTTATAAAGTATTGAACAAATAAAGACAAATTCTTGATTCTGTGAAAATTTAGGTTCAGATTAATGCCTTCTTCTGAAGGCTTGAGGAAGTTTCAAATTTTGTGTCAAAAATGGTGGAGGTGCCAAAATAAAAATTTATTTCTTTTTTTAATTGACGACCTACCGCAAAAATAAGGACAGATTCGTACTCAGGAGATAATGTTCCCCAGTGACAAAATTTACATTTCAAATTGTATTTATTAAATGGTAAAACGCTCACAATGTTATTTTACAATTTTGTCGAATAAATGTTATTTAAATGTTAAAAAGTAGCATAGTCCTGAACTTGTGGTTTATAAATACGCCATTGAGTTTTTTCGGCTTTAGATGTCTCAATTTTTCAATAAGTATTTCAATCTTGGGCATTTTCAATTTTCCCATTCTTCAAATTTTCGATTTTCTGGATTTTTTTATTTTTCAATTTCTCAATTTTTGTCCTCTTCAATTTTACTATTTTTAAATACTTATTTCAATTTTTGAATTTTTTCAAATTTGGAGGTTTCTAAATTTCCAATTTTTTGATTTCTGAAGTAATCTTTTTTTATTTTCTTATTTTTCGACTTCTCAAAGGTTCAGTTTTTGACTTCTTCAATTCTTCAATTTTTCGATTTTTCAATTTTTCTATTTTTTAAGCTTACAATTTTTCAACTTTGCTTTTTTAGTTTTTCGACTTCTCAATTTTCCAATTTTTTAATTTCTCAATTTTTTGGATATTTCCTTCA